ATGATGGTCTACTTCTCGTCGTATGTTCCATTCTATGCATGGATTGCCGCTCCTCTCTTTCAGTTGCTGAAGAAGGATAAGAAGGAATGGGAATGGAATCAGAGTCATCAAGAAGCGTTTGAGCTCTGCAAGGAAGTCTTGACCAATGCTCCTGTCCGAGCGTATGCAATACCGGGTCGACCATATCGACTGTATACTGATGCCTGCGACTACGGCCTTGCTGCGATCCTACAGCAAGTTCAGCCGATCGCTATCAAGGACCTGAAGGGAACGCGACTCTATGATCGATTGCTACGATCATACGAAGCGAAGGAAGCGGTTCCTAGCCTTGTAACAGCAGTATCCAAGGTTGAGAATGACGTCCCTCGAACGACCAAGTGGGCCGATCGGTTTGAAGATACGATCGTTCATGTCGAAAGAGTCATTGCATACTGGTCTCGAATTCTGCGACCCGCTGAAAGGAACTACTCTCCGACCGAGCGCGAAGCCCTTGCTCTGAAGGAAGGTTTAATCAAATTCCAAGGATATCTGGAAGGGTCAAAGGTTTTCGCAATTACCGATCATGCTGCGTTAACTTGGAGCATCAGGAAAAACGTTCATGTCTTAAGTGGTCTTGTGGAGAGCCAAAAGTGACATTATGTGTCACTATGTGCCACAAGAGCCTTAAGGTAAGTCGATTTCTTAAATTGTCTTACTTAAGTTCCATTAAGTAACCAAAGTAAACACTCATTCCAAGCAAGAATGATGTTTTTTCATCATTACTGGGGTGACTTCTCTCATGATTCTGCTGTGTTTGTGCATATGCTGTCATAACAGGCATCCCAGATGCAAAAATGTCGCCCAAAATAATCTGCCATTTCCCAGAATTGAACCCCTGACCTGCTAAACTAATTTCCCACACTCCCAGCACAAACTTGTGACCACTACACCATAGGTCCCTGTGCTTGTTCCCTTCTACAATAACCTATATTGACTATCTTTCTGGACTTAGAGAAATCTGCAATTGCTGCCCCCTGTTAGCCCAGCCCCTGTGCATCCCTGGGCTCTCAGACTGGCCTCATTTCTTCTTGGCACTATCTGTTGCCTTGCAGACCTTGTGTAGACTCATAATTTGCTCAAGGGCAGGCTTCTTGTCTCACTTTGCATGCTTAAGTGTTCTTTTGCTGTCTCTCAACCTTAACAGGTCAAATATGTCCAAATCCCTGACAATATGACTTTGACCACAGCATCTGTTGTAAGTAGGGTAATATACTCATAATCCCAGGAAAAAACAAATAATCTTTATTTGTACCCCATTACTGTTGCCAGATATAGTATGTGTTAACTTGTCAGGTGAAATCTTGGTGAAGTCTTCATATTGAGCAATCTGACATCTCATCATGCATATTTTCTAGTTAAGAGGTCATTTTCCAACTAATGTGTACTTATGTGTCTTAATCTGCAGAACTAAAGTTGCATATCTTCCAACTTGGGCACAAGACAAATTTCTCAAAGGTACTATAATTAACTTCAGCAGTCTTCATGCACATGGTGCACTTAATTGAGGAACACAAGTTGTGAAAGATTGAATAAGATCAGGTGTTCTTCATTCAAGACTGCTGAAGTTAGAAGTGTTTTTCCTGATGAGTAAGACCTTCCAGAACGTCAATCGTCGACTTTTGACTTGGGGAACGGTGTTCTCGGCCTACCCGAACATGGAGATCATACATCGAGCCGGTCGAGTTCACTCTAATGTCGATCCCATTTCAAGATTGAGAAGACGTGTTCCAATTGAGCAAGGACCTTCTACCGATCCGACTACGTCTCTGTCCTTGAAGGACGAAGTCGATGACCCGCTAAAGGATATGTACGAGTCCTTGAGCCCCAAATTCGAGGAGAAGCTTCTCAAAGTCGCGTCCAGATTTGTGAAACTCTATCCTCCGACGATAACGACCATCCAATATTTGAGGAGACAGTTCTGATCGACCCAGACCAACCGTCTATCGTCTATCAGGCGGCTTGCAATTACTCTTTAGTAGTCGGACTATCGGAACAATACCACCGACAACTAGTTGAGGGGTATCAGTCCGACAGTCACTATCGAGAGATTGTAAAGACGCTTCGTACAGAGGAAAGCGTAACCAATTCAAAGTATCCTCAGTATAGTCTTGGTGAAAACGGTCTGGTCTACTTCACCGATCCCTTGGGTAATAATCGACTCTGCATTCCTCAGAAGGAACGGCTCGAGCTCATGAAGGAGGCCCATGATCGAGAAACGGAAGGAGCCCACGCGGGTTACCACAGGACGTACAATCGGTTGGCCACAACGTACTACTGGCCGGGAATGTCTCGAGACATTAAGCGATATACCTCTACCTGTGATATTTGTCAAAAATCCAAGCCGAGGAGACACGCACCAGTCGGGTTACTGCAACCGATCCCAGTTCCAACTCAGCCGTTTGAAGTCATTACAATGGACTTCATACCGGAATTGCCGAACTCTTCAGGGTTTGACAATATCCTGGTTATAGTAGATAAGCTTACGAAGTATGGCTTATTCATTCCTACTACTACCAAGATCACTGAGAAGGAAACAGCTAAGCTCTTGTTTGACCAAGTATTCAAGGAATACGGTCTGCCGAGACAGATAATTTCTGACCGAGATATCCGCTGGCGAGGTGAATTCTGGAAGGAAGTCTGTCGACTTATGGATATTCAACGATCTCTTACTACGGCATACCATCCACAGGCGGACGGTCAAACAGAAGTACTCAATCAGACGTTGGAGATTTCCTTGCGAGCGTACATTGGACCGACCCGAGACGACTGGTCCGATCATGTAGGTCCACTTCAATTATCATACAACTCGACTCCGCACTCTGCAACCGGTTTTGCTCCGGCCTATCTTTTACGAGGATATCACCCGATCACGGCGAGCAAGTTGCTTCACTCTCCCGAGAGCGTTCAGCAAGAAATTGGAAACTCAACTCATCCGAACGCAGTCGATCTCGCTACTAGGTTTGAAGCTGATCGTCGCCAAGCCCGAGAAGCTCTACTTTTAGGCCAGGTGTATCAGAAGCGAGCCTATAACAAGGGACGACTGGAAGTCGAGTTTGAAGTAGGCGATCAAGTAGTCCTGAACGTTCACTCGCTGGAATTACTTCGCGCAGAGACTGGCCGAGGACGCAAGCTTCTTATGAAGTACGATGGACCTTTTGAAGTTATCGACAAGGTCAGCTCCGTCGCATACCGGATTCGACTACCCGAGTCATACGGAATGCACCCGGTAATAAACATCGCGCATTTGGAGCAGTACAATGCGTCTCCGGCCGAATTTGGGAACCGACCGATCAAGAGACTTAATCGGTTGGATTTCAATGAACTACCTGAGTATGAGGTCGACTGCATCGTCAATGAACGACGACGCAAGGTTAACGGTCGACGTCGACTCGAGTACAGAGTTCGATGGGTCGGATACGGACCGGAATCCGATGAGTGGCTACCAGAGGGTCGATTAAGGAACGCACCCGAGGTGGTGAAGGAGTGGAAACAACGCAAGATCGAGTCTAGGCCTTACTCGATTGTGCCACCAGGAAGATTGTCTGACCATTCTGGTCAACAATAAGGTCGAGCTAAGCGACCTAAGCGAAGGAATACTCTATCTCTTTGTTTAATTCTGTGAATTTTGCTGCATTATGCTCCAACGGTGGAGTGGCTCACTGCGGCCATCCATATAAATACGCTCCTTTCCAACCGATTTCTTCAGCCAATGTGCCCTTCCAACTCCAGCAAGTCCAACTCTCATGTCGCTGTCTATTGCCCCTCAAAGTGCCGACATCATCGCCCCGCTGAACGACCCGGGAGCTCTTTCAGCAGTAAACCCCTTCGCCGAGACGACCCTGTTCGTGGGGAACTTCTTCACCTGGACTCCCGACGACAACATGTTCTTCGAGCACCCCGGAGGAAACGGGGCAGTCGTTCTTAAGAACGGGTACGCCGACGCGATCTGGATCGCTCTGGCTATCACGCATGGGCAAATGCGTATCAACCAGTCGGTCCTCGACGTAGCCCGCGAGTTAGGGCTAGCCGATCCTCCATCCTGGCTACTACACCCTTTCTACCGCGATTTCAACCTACTCTAAAGCCCTTTTGTTAGCCGCGAAGCCGCTTGCAACACGATCGCTCGGGCCCAACGTTGCGGGCTTGACGCAATCACTTGGACCGCGAATTTCGTCCGAGTTAGCTGCAATAATCCCCACGTCTTCCAGCGCATTCAACATGGAGAACGCGGCCTGATCGAGTACTACCGATCGATCTGTTGGCCTGAATGGGCTGCCGAAGGAAACCCCGTCCGCGCACTCGTCCTTCATCCCACTCTGGCGAGAGGTAACGAGGCACAGTACCGTCCTACCTCGCCGTACTTTGGAATTGCGCCACGCAATCAAGTCTTGACTGCGCGCACGGTCGATCCCCGCCAGTCGGCTAGACGCATTGCGGAGCCGACCGAGGTCGAACTCAGCACCTTCAAGCAAGACATGCTAGGACGCTCGGTTGCTCCGATCGATCGACTCGAGACGATCGAGGAGGAAGTCGAGTTTGCTGAGGTTGGAGTCATGACTGACCCGGTCGAGGAAGATGAAGACTTTGACGAGTTGATGGTTGAAGAAGATCATGCGATGTAGACTGAAGGATTACGGTCTTAAAGTCTTAGGGGGGGTAGTTCGGGGGTGATGATCGATCTCCGTGTATGAATACAGTCAGATGGTTGCAATTTTCTCGCTTATACATCGCTCAATGACTCAGACAAGCATGATTCATTCAAGACTACAACGACAGCGATAACAGCATACAAAACGAGGAAAGCAACTATCTACGATTATTCTAAAAGAGACTTCTAGACCGATCAGAAGGCACGATCTTTCCCCTTACCGCTAACTCCCTTGCCGGTTGAAGAACTCGAAGCTATTCAAGATTCAGTCATTCAGTATGGTCCAAAAGAAAGGTGTTCAATCTTACCCTGAGTACGACCGAGTTGATACTGGAGCGATTGATTCTGCGCTTCCAAGGACGTTACTTGAGCCTGGAGCGCCGTATACGCTGATCGCTGTTGATCAAGCTCCAATTGAAGAGCGGTGATTAAACCGGCTTGATCGTTCAGAGTGCGGCCTTGAGACTCAATCACCCGTTGCATGTGAGTGGTTGCAGAGGAAGGCCCGGGTCCAGCTTCGACCGGTCGAAGAGCCGAAGAGAGAGGCGAAGGGAAGCTTGACGCTTCAGTCGAGGGAGGACCGAGGTGGGACAAGCCCGTCAAAGGAGAAGGACCGATCAGAGGGCTGGGCAGCTCAACCTCAGGAGAAGTCCTGAGCCGCTTGCGAGGGGGTTCCTGGAACAAACAAGAAGTTAACCAGAACTAAGGAGAGTCGATCGACTACTTACCTTATCGACGCTTAAATGTCTTACTTAGATTCCATAAGTAACCAAAGTAAACACTCGTCCAAGTCATGAAGGATTCTTCATCATCTACTCGGGGGACTTCTCTCATGATTCGGCTGTGTTGGGCTATGTCATAACAGGCATCCCAGATGCAAAATGTCGCCCAAATAATCTGCCATTCCCAGAATTGAACCCCTGACCTGCAAACTAATTTCCCACATCCCAGCACAACTTGTGAGACACCATAGGTCCCTTGCTTGGTTCCTTCTACAATAACCTATATGACTATCTTCTGGACTTAGAGAAATCTGCAATGCTCCCCCTGTTAGCCCAGCCCCTGTGCATCCCTGGGCTCTCAGACTGGCCTCATTTCTTCTTGGCACTATCTGTTGCCTTGCAGACCTTGTGTAGACTCATAATTTGCTCAAGGGCAGGCTTCTTGTCTCACTTTGCATGCTTAAGTGTTCTTTTGCTGTCTCTCAACCTTAACCTCGTCCTCCTCCTCCTCGACCTCTTCATCCTCCTCCTCCTTTTCTTCTTCGTCTTCCCTTCCCCTTCGCTGTCTTCACTGTCCTCGATCTTGTCCGATTCTTCGTCAGTCATTCTGACGTCTTCATCAATCTCCTCGGAGGAAGATCGATCGACTTGGACGGATCGTTCCTCTTCCAGCCCACTCCATTCCTCGAACTCTTCGTCCCCGGGCAAGCCGATCTCAGGAGAGATTCTTCTGGGTAGATTCTTTCTAGTCCTCGATCGACTAGCAGTCTAGTCAACAAGAAGAGTTAGAATCAGTCAAGTCAGAAAATGAAGTCCTTACCGGGTGGTCCTTAACGAAGCTGCAACCGACTCTTTTGCGGTTGCATTCGGCACATGCAGTCAGTCCATCCCGGACGAAGCACGGGATTGTGGTTTTTCCTCGGCTCTTAAGGCATTTTGCGCAGCGAAGTTCGGCCTTATACTGATTGTCACGGTCAGTAGGAATAAGCGGTCAATCTTTGAGTACTCACCAAAGTTCCGTCACCTAAGAACTCGGGATTGGAGTCGGGATCGACTCCGTTTGGAGGAAGAAGAGCCGCTTCTTCGATTCCCAGCTTGGTCAGAGATTTGAAGTCCATCTCTGAAGGCTCAGGACTATTCGATCTGGAGGAGACGGGAGACATGGCTCGACTTGGAGTAAAGGAACCGGTCGTATCTTGATCCTCGGCTAGAAGCAAGTCGTCAGTAATTCGGGGAGGCCCTCAACTGAGACTCACTGAAGAGGCGAGACCCAGCTAAAGGAGGTCAGCCAGAGGAAGTCGAAGACAAGGAGAGTTCAAGGACTCACCGATCCATTGGTGAACGAATGACCGCGCCGCGGCGTCTATTTGAACCACGGAGATCGGATCGCCTTCGCGGATCGGGACATCCCATTGGTCAACCGGATGACCGTGTCGAGCCATATAGCTCTGGAGCGATCTAGTCCAGCCAAGGCCATCTTCGGGATCGTCGTGCCATTGGTAATCCCAAACATCCTCCAGGATAGAAGGAAGAGGATGCTCGTCCCAATTTAGTGAGTCCAGCCAGTCATCGGTCTTACTTCGATCAGTTCAATGATCGAGGAGGTCTAATGATCGACTTACAAAAATATGGATCATCAAGATTCGTTCTATTGCGCGCCAGTCCCATGGTCCGAGGATGACGTACCGAACCGTTTCCTGAAGTCGATATAGTCGAGCACCAGTCCAGTAGTCGGGTGGAGGATCATGGAAAAGAACTCGATCGACCCTTTTGTGTTTTGCCTTGCCGACCGATCGCATATAGTCAACAAAGCCATCGTAAGTCACAGGGCCGACCATAGTAAGGATTAAGCTAGTTCGCGATCCTAGGCAAGGGGGGGTATGTTAGGTAGGCCTAACGTCAAAGGGATTGCCTAAGTCGCGAAAGCCTGTCAAAGTGGTTAAGCGCTGACACGTGACTTACGGCGAAGACCTTCCTTTCCGGTACAAGTCCTTACTTACCCTTTAGAGTCAGTATCAGCTGATCCCGGAGATCGCTCGGGCGAGGGATCGACTTGTCTAGACTCGGCAAGGGCAACCGAACTAAAGCCGATCGGTTCGGTCTAAGAACAATGAGTATACGGGGTACTCGACCGAGGACATTGGAAAGGCTATTGTTCTCTTGTAGAATATTCTAGTACGTTTGGAATGTATTTAAACACTGTGGTAGTGACCAGACAAATAACACTCTCTTGAACTTCAATCTATCGGTGTGAGCCACTCGATCGTCCATAGCTCCGCGCTGGACATACTAAGGTCGATCGTACTTATAGCCGTGCGCTAAGTCGATCTACCTTGACCCCTTCATTAGTATAGCCTCGCGCTACTCTGAAGGGTTCGGTAAGAGTAAGCTTCATCGATCTACGGTTAGAGTCGGGTTCGTGTTTAGTGGCATCCTCAACTATTGTTGTAACGCTCTATTCACTAAAGTCGTAACCGACTTACTTTGCTCAACCAAGTTTCTTAGCTTCATTAAGAACGTAGGCACTACTGTGCCACTCCGGACTTAGTGCGTGAACTTGTTGAGCGAAATCGATTCTCGATCGACTAAACCTCATAAGTCGATCACTCAAATCGTTGTGTTAATCCTCTTCACAACGAGATAATCCTCAATTCATTTCTTAACTAAGGCGACTACAATTACGTAACTACCGACGGTTGTTACTAAGTAAGTACTCGGTAAGTTAGCAATCCCAGTCCATAACAATACCCTTACCCACATGAGTTGCATACCCATGCCATGGGTATGAGTTTTGCATGGGTATTGTGGGTACCCATGGGTATGGGTACCGTCATGGGTATATCTACATGCAGTCAATGGTACTTGTGATTTTGGATGATGATTCATGACTGGCAAACATCTAAGCCTTGGCAGTGTTGTACTGGCCATATTAACTTCACTGATATGCATAATCAATCACAACAGGACTGTCCAACCAAGTGTACAACAGTAAATGTAGGGGGCACACCAGGAGAAATCTGGGGAACAAGACAAAAGGCTGTACACATCAATGAACCTTGCAGATTGCACCAGGTAATGAATATCAGGGATCCATGGACATCAGGTCACATGAGAACACATGATTATGGGGGGCTTGCAGGCTCAGCTGTGCTTGGCTGAGGAAGAGATATACATCCATTGGCCTACCTCATATGAATTTCCTTTGACAATGTTTATATCCATGGTCACTTTGCAGACTGGATTTCACTTGTTCTCAGAGATCAACATGTAGCAGAAGAACCAACCCTCAGGCTAAACAACACCCAGATTGAATCACAGGCAAAATTCAACATTGTGCCATCTTCAACAACAATGACTGTCACATAAATCAGCAGGGTTCATAACAGCATCATTTACTAGCCATCATCATAGCCATACTTTTGCATAGTTTGTCATCTGAGTGTGATTGTGATCATTCTGATAAAGACTGATTAAGATTAGGGTTTATCAAAAAAAAAAATGAGGCATGTATGCTACTTAAGTGGGTAAGTAATGCTGATACTACAGGTTTTGTCTCCACCTTGCCACATTGCTTATACCAAATTCTGTTCAGTCAGGACCCTGCAATAGACGGCTGACAAAGGATTTTGAGATCACACTACAGGAGCTGTCATTATAAGTTTAAAAGCATAGGTCAGCTTCCTCCCAATCTGATTGCACCACAATAGCACATACATCACCCACTATGCACACAGGAATGTCCTTGTCAACTTGACATGATAACAGTAATGTATCTTTTATTGTAACAAAAGGGAATGTCCAGTCAATTTTATGAAACAGCTATTGCAAAGTACTGAGATACAAGCCTCAGGGTCATCTTGGAGGATGTGAAAATGTGACAGACCCTAATACTGACTATTTGATTATGACTACAGGTGTAAGAGTTTGTGGGCCTGGAACCCTAGATCAGGGGGCTGGGCTGCCTGTGAACCTGATGTTTGGTGGTTGCAGCATGACTGGGAAGGTGTCATAGCTTCATGAGGTCATGAGCGAGGCGAGGAGCTCCTGCTAGTGTCATTGCAGGGTAAGGAGCCTTGCATGTGGATGGGTGTGTCCTAGGTTGGACGAGGAGCCATGCCAAGAGCGTGTCCCAGATGAGGGTGAGGAGCCGTGTCGAGGGAGAGTCCTGGATGCAGGCAAGGAGCCTTGTCTAGGATGGGTCCTAGGCATGGCGAGGAGCACAAGCCAAGAGGAGTCCTGAATGTACTCAGATGGTGCAGGGTTCACACACAGACAATGTGGTGGTTCAGGTGTAAGAATAGATTACTTCCCAATTAGGAAGGCAGATGGCTAAGTACAGACAATCTAATCTTATCTACACTATATGGTTCATAATCTTATCTACTAGGGCAGGCATAGTATTGCCCACCCATCACAACAGGGGCCCATGGGTTGCATGGGTATGTGGGTCAGATTTTGGCTACCCACACCCATACCCATGCATACCCATACCAATGACCCCCATGGGTTAGTCATACCCATGCAATGCACTAGTTCCTAGAATGACTTGATTGCCAGAGCAAGTGAAAAAGTACAAGTACAGACAACAACAAGCAGCACATAGGTATCCATGGTTACATTCCAGTGTTCTATTGTTCATATGTTACCAGCAGCACTTCACATACAACTCTACCAACCCCTGCACCCTCTTGACTGAACTGAAGGTGATGGGCTCACTATTCTGCTACATCCACGCCACGGGTTGCTTTGCAGCCATGTACGGCAAGCTCACTGAGTGATGAACAGAACTGATTGTCTATGTATGATTGCTGTGACAAGACACACTGTACCCCAAACATAGGTATTATTACTGTATACTGTACTACCCCCCATCTTGGTGTCCCCTGATGTTTGAGCATAATCTCAATGTCCCCTGACATGCAAGCATACACAGCTGATTAGATCAACAAACTATGGACTGCACTACATACATATCATGTCTACATAGGGCTTTGCCCTCAGTGACAATAAAGGGAACCAACAACAACAACAACAACCCCTGCACAATGTGGATTATTTATCCCAAGCCACTAGAAAAGCTGAGAGCACCAGTGAGAGATGAAGTATAGTAGTTAGTATTGCTGCCAAGGATCAAATCATGTCCATCATTGGACATGTTGACTGAGTCAAGGGTAGGACCATGCAGGTCATCAAAGACAAGGTTGTATGGGTCATCAAAGGTGAGGCCATGTGGGCCATTGAAGGTGAGGTTATGTGGGTTGTTGAAGGTGAGGCCATGTGGGCTACTGAGCATTGCACGATGCATGTTGCTGAGTGTCAACACGTCATGCACATTGTTGGTTGTCCCATGCACATTGCCAGGCATCATGCCACCACACAGGTTGCTGAGCATTGTGCTGTGCACATTGCCAAGTGTTGACTTGTGCATGTCGTCGAGTGTCAACTCACTATGCATGTCTGTTATGGACTGGGATTGCTAACTTACCAAGTACTTACTTAGTAACAACCGTCGGTAGTTACGTAATCGTAGTCGCCTTAGTTAAGAAATTAATTGAGGATTATCTCATAGTGAAGAGGATTAACACAACGATTTGAGTGATCGACTTATGAGGATTAGTCGATCGAGAATCGATTTTGCTCAACAAGTTCAAGCACTAAGTTTGGAGTGGCACAGTAATGCCTACGTTCTTAGTGAAGCTAAGAAACTTGGTTGATCGAAGTAAGTCGGTTACGACTATAGTGAATAGAGCGTTACAACAATAGTTGAGGATGCCACTAAGCACAAACCCGACTCTAACCGTAGATCGGTGAAGCTTACTCTTACCGAACCCTTCAGAGTAGCGCAAGGCTATACTATTGAAGGGGTCAAGGTAGATCGACTTAGCGCACGGCTATAAGTACGATTGACCTTAGTATGTCCAGCGCGGGGCTATGGACAATCGAGTGGCTCACACCGATGGATTGAAGTTCAAGAGAGTGTTATTTGTCTGGTCACTACCACAGTGTTTAAATACATTCAAAATGTACTAGAATATTCTACAAGAGAACAATAGCCTTTCCAATGCCCTCGGTCGAGTACCCCGTATACTCATTGTTCTTTAGACTGAACCGATTGGCTTTAGTTCGGTCACTCTTGCCGAGTCTAGACAAGTTGATCCCTCGACCGAGCAATCTCCGAGATCAGCTGATACTGACTCTAAAGGGTAAGTAAGGACTTGTACCGGAAAGGAAGGTCTTCGCCGTAAGTCACGTGTCAGCGCTTAACCACTTTGACAGGCTTTTGCGACTTAGGCAATCCTTTTGATGTTAGGCCTACCTAACAATGTCATCAAGCATTGACTCACCGTGCGCATCATTGCATATTGACATGCACTGCTTGCAGAGTACATGTCCATCTGGAAGCTCTGTGAGTCCTGCCTGATGTTCAGGTCCAATCAATTCCCATCATGTGCATAGGGAGCATATATGCTATGAAATTCTTACATTGGTTCTCTGGCAGGGCTTTCCTGAGAGCTAGCATTTGGTTCAATGTTCAAGTTACAGACAAGCCCCACACCCATTTTGGGGACTCAGGGTGATCTGCGGTGCTTCCTGCTGTTGTGTTGGCCCTTGTCACATCCGTGCTACCAAGTCACTCAACTCCGATCCTCCGATCTCCAGTTCTGTTTCTCCATGTCCAAACTCTGATCTTATTGTGTACACTTCATCCATCTTCCATTTCATGTTTCACCTCAGGACAAACATGTACCATATGCTCACCTTCTTATAATACAATACTTATTATTCAACACCATGTGCTCACCTCAGAGTTCCAATAACTCTGGACTCCATGATCGTTATGTTCCACATGCTACAAACTCTTATTGTATATGACTCACAATTAGCTTACTCCATATAAAAGCCTGAGCTGTAGTATACCTGTAGTTCAGTTCAAATATCTCATTATACTCATTAACACAACACTCTTCCACTCTGAACTCCAGACTCTGTCTGTTCTGCACAACTCTGTGTCTGTCAACCTCAAATCTCATCTCATCTTGTCTCTTCCTTCTTGTTCATTCTTGTCCTCTCCTGCTAACTCCTCCTGACTCTATCTCTGGTACTCCAAACTCTGGTCTGTGACCTCACGTCCAAGTCCAGTAAATTGAGGACCTCAGAGTGTTGGCAATCAATACCTTCACCATAGTCCTCTCTTGTGCCCTCCAGATCTTTGGACTTTGAACTTGTCATACCCACAGAGACCAACCAACCCATACTCTAGTGATGGTAGCAGAACCTCAAAGACTATGCTGCATAGCTCTCCTTCCCCTAGGCCTCATGAAGACTGGGATGCACTGCTTCCCGTTGGCAATCAGCCTTGTGGCAGCTCAGCCTCAGAGGGACAGCCTCAAAGCTCTGAGCCTCTCAATCAGCTAGTGCATACTGCTCTGAAGCTGTGGGAGGCTGACCTCCAGTTTCTTGTTGTGCAAGCTGCAGCAAAATAACTGAAGCCAGAGGTTGCATACACCATGACTGCATGTTGACCATTGGGGGCCTACACAGTAGTGAATCTGAGTCTATTCTCATGTCTGATTGTCATGAAACAGAGCAGGGCATATCAAGATATGCCATCTGAGCTGCTCTTTCACATCCCTGTCCATTGCACAATCCCTCAGTCACTGGCTCTTGCCACTCCTGATGCACCTTGGAGTAATCCCTGATGCCTTGAAGGTAAGATACACCCTGATCACCAACACAATGTTGGATAGCATGTTCACAAACACCAATTAAATTGGTCTTTTCCAGACCAGCATTAACAGATACATCAAGAAACTCCTTTTGTCCTTGGAGATTGGTATCTATGATGGTGAGCCCCCTGTAAACAAAGTGATGGTAAGTACAATGAATGCCACACTTCAGTTGAACAGCACCTGTGATCATTTCATCCATCTTTCTACTACAGTCCCTTTCGCACACACCCATGATGCTGTTGATGGGAAGTGAGAGAAGATGGAGGATTGCACGCACTACTGTCTGATGCAGTGCAAGGGTGATATTAAGAAGCATGTACATCACCCCAGGGCTGTTGTCACCTGGCACTACATTCAAAACTGACACATACAATTGTCTATATGGGTGTGCAGATTGAGAGCTTGTTTGATCATGACGAGTTTGCCAATCCTGCTCCATACAATAATGGCAAGGACATCATCCATTTTGTCAAGGGAGTCATCAGAATTGGTTCAAAATCAGTCAAGCACACCAGTGTAGTGGCTACAGTGGCCCTCTGTTCACACTTTGCAGTGCTGGTATGACCATGCCTCACACATTTGTATGTATACTACACACACGACTCATGATTCCCTATAGTGTGACATCCTTAAGACCAACCCAGAGAATGATTGATTATTGGTCACTCATTGATGAAGTGCGCAAAATCCATGCAAAAGGGAACAGCAACAACCTTGCTACCTCCAGGTTTGTCAGACCACTTTTTACATGGTTGACTAACTTGAAGCTCAAGACGTGATATGTGTGTTAAAGGGTTGTCCAGGTGTACTTAGACAAAAACCACAAATATAGGCTGCCAGGCCCTGATCTCTCAACACTGAGCAAGAACAAGCCCACATGAAACCTTACAGACATCAATGATTTTCAAAATCTCTCTCAATAATGCTCACATGGACTGTTGTATCTTTGCCTGGTGCTCAAGCATAGGGACACAGTATTTAAACTGAACCAATATGACTTGCATTAGAATCTACAAAATAGAATCCAATTTGCACATTGATACCATGCCAGCCTGCACAACCTGCCCCATACCCAGGTCATTGACCTCGGCCTGTATGACAACATCATGATGTATCTGCTCCTCCCATTTCTCCCTTGTGAATGCCATCACCAGATGTGGTTGCTCGAGTTTGGCCAGTTGTGCTGGTGGGATGATCTGCTTGAGTTGTTCAATTTGTGCACGCACATAAGACCAGCACCCACGTAACTCATAATTCTTGGGCTGAGCATGACAAAGTTGGTCTTGTAGCTCTCTTACAATCACTATGTAGGGAAAAGAAGCCATGGAAATGGTGATAAGACATCAAGACACATCATAATCAATTGACCAGTGCTGTGTACACCTTGATTTGTGTGTGTAGTCCCATCTAACACTGAGTCTGAATCAGAGGACCATGCATTGACTTTCATTTCATCTGCACCATCTCACAGGGATTAGACCAATACAGTATAGGGCCAGACCACCATGCAATGCTCACTGTCATACTCCACCTGCTGAGATCCACCCTCCAGTCCATCCTGGCTCTCATGCAATTGCAAGTTGAGTGTACCATCCTGTTCATATAATCTGGCATACACAGGATTGCAGAGAAAATGAGGCCCAGTTTCCAAGTAAGCCCACTCACTCTGCTGTTTTCTGTGCTAATTTGAGGCTTGCAAGGCAATCACACTTTGGACTGCCTTCAGGTGGTTCATGATCCTCAGGCATGTTGCCCTCCTCAACATCTGTCCATGTCAGCTGTCAGCTGATCATACATATACTTAGCATCCCAACAGGTGACTTGGAGGGGAGCTCTGCAGGGTGGGATCAGAGGAAACAGACAAGACAAAGGGCAATTAGAGCTCTGGAAGCTTGACCCTTCACATCATGGCAAAGTTGTATAGGCACATGATGCTGTAGACCTTGCGACAGGCTTGAAGAGTGCAGCCGCAGCTGCAGAGTGATCCTTTCCTGCAAGCTTGTCACACTGGCATCACATGAAGGTTGTCATAGAACTCCCATTCATTGTGGACTCTCTGTCAAAACAGGGTTTACTTAGCCGTTGGAGTGTTGACTGCATGCACTTTTGATATTCAACACATCCTCCTCAGGTTTAATCCCACCCCCTGTGTCCAAGAGTTCCCATTTGTACCCCAAATATGTTTTCTTCAGCCTATATATGTGATAGTCAGATATTGGAATCATACAATAATCATGATGCACCTGTTGAGTTCGAATTTATTCCACATTTCTGCAGATTATTCTGAGCTCCAATTGCTCTGTCCAAGTCATAATATGTGTCCTGGTGTGTTTTCCTTTATTCTACATGGATGCCATTACTGTACCGTGCATACTATTTTTTTCCGACCTCTTTCCCTTCAGTCTACCATTTTCTATAATGCTTGACACTTCTGGGATTTGAACCATTGCACTCACTCGCTTTTCACTTGTTTGTTGATTTCGACTTTGTGGCTGTTCTACTGTACAGATGTGGCTGTATTACGTAACACAGGCTGTAGACAGTCCGCCTCGTCAAGCTCTAAGTCACTAAGACTTTACAGAGCTCGACTTAGGTGTGTATCTTTGCTTTCTTGAATATAAGCCTTTACAGAGCTCGACTTAGGCGCACTGCAGCCAACAGCACCACACAACTCCTGCTGGGTAGACTTATGGAAATGAGCTGCATTTGCTGCCCACTCAGTTGCAAAAACTGGATAAGGCCTTGCACCAGTGCTTTGCATAGATGTCTTCAGCAACCTTAACCCACCATTTGATTTTTGTTACATGACCCTGTATCTTCTTCCAACTGTCCTTGTGGTGTTCTGAGTTAAGTCACTGAAGGGCTTGATGCAAAGCTCTGGATTTTCCATGAGGAAGGAGATGGCAGTGTGGGTCCAAGCCAGATTCTTGTCCCATGATATGTCCTTCTCCTTTATGTGCTTCAGAGGCTGACAGATGGTAGGATCTGGCTCCTTGGGCTTTGCTTTCTGTGGTGGCATACTGAAGCAGAATGATGCAGGATGAGCACAGATTACATAATGTGATTATGTACTTGATCACTTAACATGGTACAGAAGGAACACCTAAGGTGCAATTGCTTGTGCGCTTGCCTCTGCCAGCTTGGAGGCTGCTCCACCACTGGCTTTGTTGACCTCCACAACTACACCTATGAGCAGCCACACATTGTTGGGGAATCCTCATGTCATGCTGGGTGACGCTACATCTGTTGCCCCAGCTATGCATGTGCTGCATTGCAGCTGTCATAATGTGGTCTTGCTGTCTGAGTCTGGCGCAGCAGTGCATGGTGGTGAGTATACTGAGTTCTTACTCCTCGAGCTGTCAACCAGCCAAATTACCTGTGGTAAGTTCCCATGAGACCTTCAGCATCAATAGACACGATCTATACTTTTGTGTTTGCAGCCCAATACAATATTCAAGATGACCACTACAATGCTGCTCATGTGATGTTTTGTAAATCGGTTGAAATGACTGATGATAGCTAAATGTCTGTCTGTTATGTAGTACCCATATTGACATTGTTCAACAACTTCATGCTGCCCACACTAGTTGCAGCTTGCATGTGGAGATACCTCTATATGGCATCCAATGAAAACAATTGATTGTCCACTGACTTCACCACAGGGATTCCAGCCATCATTTGTGCTATATCAGGCATACTTGCATCTTGGATCAATACTATATAGATACCACCAGAAGGTATCTACACATTCTCATTCTGTCCAGCCTCAGAAGCCTCGGAGCTCATGGAAGGAAACTAGAGTGTTTATGTTGGCTGCAGTGCGCCTCAGAGCGATTCCAAAGGCCTAAGTCGAGCTCTGTAAAGTCTTTTATATTCAAGAAAGCGAAGATACACACCTAAGTCGAGCTCTGTAAAGTCTTAAGGACTTAGAGCTCGACGAGGCGGACTGTCTACGGCCTGTGTTATGTAATACAGCCACATCTGTACAGTAGAACAGCCACAAAGTCGAAATCAACAAACAAGTGAAAAGCTCGTGAGTGCAAGGGTTCAAATCCCAGAAGTGTCAAACATTATAGAAAATGGTAGACTGAAGGGAAAGAGGTCGAAAAAATATAGTATGCACGGTACAGTAATGGCGTCCATGTAGAATAAAGGAGAACATATTATGACTTGGACAGGGCAATGGAGCTCAGAATAATCCGCAGAAATGCGGAATAAATTCGAGCTCAACAGTTTACTATCAACAAGTGGCTGCATCTGTTGAATGTTTGTAATATGTATTCTGTGTCTGTTTATCTTCCCTGTCAAGCATTCAATTGACACCATTGTATGCTTTCATTGTACTATTACCAAAACATTTGGACAATGAGATTTCAATGCTTTGAAGCACTCTTTAATGCATATACTATCTGGACTATGAGTTTGACTATTGCCCAGTTTCTACTGTGTTCCTACTCATTCAAGGTGTGATAAGATCCTTCAGAATTGATATAATTGCTGTTGTATGCTTGTATTGGTATACAAAAGAAAGGCTGTGTGTTGGTTACCAAATCATTCTTAAAGCAATGTTGAATGGTTGTGCTATCCTCAGGCTGTACACCAAGAATGTGGACCCTTGCATCCCTTAGTAATGCATTGGGATCCACAGCAATGAAACAGTGGCTGTATTTGGATGATATGGTGTTACCACATAGCTTGCCTCATTGTTGACAATGAAGTGTGAGGCTATCTTGCTATTGTTCTCCTAAAACGGCCTTGGGAAGTGGTGTAAATGAGTCAAGGACAAGTACTTACAATTCTACAAGACACCTTGGATTTCCTGACATCTTTTTGATTGGCTGAGACAAACACAGACACTTGCTGGCAGTCTTCAACATTTGATTGGCTGAACAGCGCAGACAGCTTTGTGCTGGTTGAATGAAGAGATGTTAGATGCCAAAACATGGTTGAACTTGAACACATGCACTGCAAATTTCTTATCACATGACTTTTAACAGTACATGTATGCACATAATGTGATTTCTCACCTTGTCCATTGAGCAGTGGCATGTGATTGGTTCATATTGCACACATGTTATTGGGCATGGGAGCATATTTATACGTTCATAGCGGGCATACACATTGCAGTAAGTCTGTGATCAGGTACCCGTGGCCTCATTCCCAACCAAGATGCCAAGCACGCCAAGTCTTGCAGCCAACCTGCGGAAATATCAAGCTCACAGGTAGCAGTGTCTTCAAACCAGAAGAGTATATACTATGTATGGTGTATTGTGATGGACACACTCTTATTTTTGTGATTTCACAGTACCTGTCTGGGATGCCAGACACTATTTTGAGCACTTGCAGGCCCCTAGAGGGTCTTTATTAAAGACATTGAGACACTTGCCAACTGTCCAGGACTGTTGTGGACAAGGAGCCAGTGCTCCACTCTGTTGTAGCGGTGCTGCACACTGTGTCCTCCTATGGATGTGTAGGTGAGCCAACAAATTTGTTGCTCAATGTTGCTGGTGTTGGAGGCAGATGGTGATAATGGCAGAAAGGACACCTTGTCCTTCATTGGGCTCTTGGCAACCTTAGTCAGGCAGGTCAACAAAGGATTTTCTTGAGTACAATGGGTGGGATTGGGATTCACCTGATGCTGTGTCAGCAGAAACAACATGAAGTTACATTAATGACATATTGGCGGGCAGGGTGTTGAAGGACATTTAGCCCTCAGCCCTCTTGAAGGATCCCAGCATCAGATCATTGTGAATCAGCACCTCACTGGAATCCCCACACAAGGTGAAACTCCACTGCAAATGGCATGATGGTGATGTACTTGCTCTGCCTATCATGAACGTAGTCAAGGTTGCCTTCCATGAGATAGCTGAGCTCTACAAGGCCAGCATCACTGCCTAGGCTTCTTCACTGACCTCAATGCCTGCCTACTCATCAGCGTGTCACTTCAATGCTGACGGCAAGGTATGGGTAACACACTTAAGCACCATCCATTTTCAGGGCTATTTCATTGACAGGTGAGTCGTTACACACTTCTTAGTGGATTCTGACTTCCATGGCCACCGTCCTGCTGTCTAGATGAACTAACACCTTTTTTTGGTGTCTGATGAGTGTGTATTCCGGCACCTTAACCTTGCGTTTGGTTCATCCCATATCAACAGTTCTGCTTACCAAAAATGGCCCACCCATGATGAAGTTGATGACAGGATTGCCATTGAAGGTGATGACTGAGCGAGGGTAGCCAGGTAGGCTGGCAGAGAAGTTTGGGCTTGCACAGGCAGGGTTGACAAGCCAGTTGCCAGTGAAGGTCCAACAGATAGTGCACTTGAAATTCCTGTGCTGATTGGATTAATGAGCATACTTGTATGTATACAGGTATTACTTACTGGATGTGAATTTCAATACCATGTGCCTGGAACACACTGATGACAGGAGATGTCTCAACAAACAAGTGCTCAGGAACATCATGTTTACTGAAACACATTGATGAGCACAATATACATGAGCTGGGTTATTGACATACCACATAGGCCACATGTTTGCATGTGTTCAAGCCAATCCTTGCCTTTGTCCTTGTCCAATTGCTTGGAGTGCTTGTTGGTGCATATCAAAATGTACACCTACTCTGAAGTCAATTGTCTCACTCATTGCCTGCAGGGGGGAAGAGCTCAAGCTTGGGCATCATGTACCATATTGGGCCAGGATCTCGGCCACCCTATGTACTCGGCCATTGCAGCCTCATGTTGCTACCGCTTCTCCTGTAGCCAGGAAATAAATATGACCAACTTAATGTACATCCTATCAGTGCCTGTACACCACATAAGTCACACCATTAAGATCTGGCTGCAAAGAAAATCATCCCGTGAGATGATGCCCATTTTGGGAAGTAGCGGCTCGATCTCCTGGACCCCTCAACAATAAGTGGGCACCTCATTCAGATTTCATGTCTAGCAGCCAGGGGAAAACTATACAATTATCTATGAGCATCTCAGTGTGTAATGCAGCCCAGGTAGAGGGGTCTCAGCAGTGTATAGAGCTATGGCCATTGGCATGACCGACTTCCTAGTCGGTCTTGCTCACCCTGCCCTCATCTCGAAATATCTGTACAGTCATCCACCGGTCACTGTAACACTTCAAAATAGCTCAGACCCAAGCTACTCTAATGATTCCTTATTTCTGATGGTATTATAGGATATGGACCATGTACCTCGTTGATGATAGAGGTCCATCCAGCTCAGAATGAGCAACTTTGGCTCGAGGTAGAGGTGGCGCTGTGCAGGCACTTATTAGCGTGACATTCTCATCACCCACTGTAACACCTGTGTTTTGACCATGTACATTCACTCCCTCAAGCTCTGGACACAAAACCTGGCAAGAATGTTGTGAGAGTAGCTAGTAACGATCTTCCACTCCGTAGACAAGAAAATGGCCAAACACTGTTTGGGTGTTACAGTGACCGGTGCATGACTGTACTGCACCCCTCTCAGAGGACTGATATCTTTTCTGGTATTTTTATCATATTATTGAGGCATTATGGCATAGAACTTGGATCAAGGTGAATATCATGCACATTGAGCGAGTAAGGCTTGTCAAGTGCTAAGGTGCCCGAGATCCCAGCCCAATATAGTAGCTGATGAACCTGTCAGTATATGTGGATATATAATTAGTACAGTGGTTGACACTCGCACTGCACCAGGAACACCAGCAGCATCATCTCTGTCCTTTCTGTTGGATGATCATCAGAAGCATGATTCTATTTTCAGACAAAAGACATACCCAGACGGTTGCTTCCCACGCTTGAGGGTTTATGGTATCTCAACGACAGTGTCAAGTCTGGTACCCAAAGGTTCAATGCTGTTCACATCAAAATGGAGATCATTTACTGTTTGCCCCCAATGAACACAGCCTCCCTGTATACATATCACACCTATCAACAAATTCATCTGACAATGAACAAATGACGTACTTGTTGCTTGTTCCAGCAATGAATGGATTATCCTCTGCATCGGAAAGGACTGCCGCCTTTGCCTTGTGTTTGCCTTTATTGCTGTAAACATGGTCAGCTGTTGATGATCTAAACTCACACCACATAACTTACACTGTTGTACGTGACTTCTTGGTTGGTGATGCTTTCTGGGACTCTTCTTCATCTGCAACAGGACTTGGTCACTCAATGCTACAATCCTAAGATCAGATTACATTGTGATGACACAACATACAACCTACCACTTGGCTCTCACTTTATCTTTGCTGTTAAAGGTCAGCATGCATATATTCCTATGTAAATCATTCAAACCTTGGGGATGGTGTTGCCGGAGTGTCTGGCGGACCCATCAGGTTTGCCCTATCAATAAATCAGCATGGTCAATAAGCTGCCATTGTACTGCTCTGGAATGTACCTTTTGATGGGACTATCTCGAGTGGAACCCACAAGTTCATTGTCCCAGTCAGGGCTGATTGACATGAGCATCACCTCAGTGAAACCAGTCACTATCTACACACCTTGACCTGGACATCTCACTGAAAACACATGACTGAGAGACAGCATATCAGGAGAGAAGCTGACAACTTACAGGATAGAGTGACATCTTCTCAGTCTTGAGGTAGAGGCATGCCCTTTGGTAGATCTAGAGGTCATTTTGTCAGCAATGCATTAATGAGGTTATATCAAACCACTTACACAAGAGGCTCATCATCACTGGACACAATTGTAGCCATGTCTGCTATCTCCTGCTGTTCATCCTCTTCATCAGAAAGCTCAACGATATCTCCATCATTATTGTCTTGATAATCATCAGTGCCCTCAAATCCCTCTGGCCTCCCTTGCTTCATCATCAATGAAGCAGCAGACTTCAGCAGCACTGGCCTTGGCCTTTGCAGACTATATGTAAGGTAGAGTGAGTGAAAGACATAAGATCAATTGATAATAACACACTGCTTGGGAGGTCCACGCTTAGCTGGCTGTCTGCTGTTGTACATCATTACCTACATCAGCTTACATAACAAAGACAATCATGTACGGCTTCTGCTTTGGCCTTGGGACATAGTCATCTCCACTGTCAAATACCTCCTCAGGTTCAATCTTGCCCATCATAGCCTTGAAGCTGAAAAATGGAGTATAAATATAGTTCAGTACAGTGAGTGAGGTCATGGACAAAGCACTTACGACTGGGTAGCAGTGTGCAGCTTCTTAGGGGTGTTTACAGCACCATGCTTTGTACTACTAGATCTGATACAGCTGCAGTATGAGACACACCCAAGCCACAAATGAACATACCATTACTCATGCAGACATGACAGGTTATTGGTATGGATGGGATGAGGTACTGAGGCTGCTTGGTGTTGAGCTCGAATTTATTCCGCATTTCTGCGGATTATTCTGAGCTATCACCCTGTCCAAGTCATAATATGTGTCCCGGTGTGTTCTCTTTTATTTTCTACATGGACGTCATCACGTCCCGGTGTGTTCTCCTTTATTCTACATGGATGTCATCAATATACCGTGCATATTGTATTTTTCCCGATGTCTTTCCCTTCAGTCTACTTGAACCCTTGCACTCTTCCACTTTTACTTGTTTGTTGATTTCGACTTTGTGGCTGTCCTACTATACAGATGTGGCTGTATTGCGTAACACACATCGCAGACAGTCCGCCTCGTCGAGCTCTAAGTTCCTAAGACTTTACAGAGCTCGACTTAGGCCTTTGGAATTGCTCTGAGGCGCACTGCAGCCAACAGGTTATGAGCCCTGCGCTCTGAAAGCCTCAAACGTCCATATCTGCCCGTCCAAACGCTCTGTGGCCCTCCCAAAGTGTCCCCTCTCGCTCTTTCAACCTACCTGCACTTTGAAAGTCCCTGTCTTCGCCCCTATTCGACCTTTGGTCGATATCTCGCTCATCTCTGCGCCGTTCTGCGCTGTTCTTCGCTCGACCCGTCCATCCGCACGTCGCCCTTCGTACCGTCACCATGGCACCGTCCCCTGCTGCGTTCCCGAAGCTCACCAATCACAACTACCAGCAATGGAGGCTTGATATGGAGGCTAGACTTCGAACTCTTGCAGCTCTTCGCATTGTGAAGGGCTCAGAGACCAGGCCTTTGTTTACTCCGCCTCTGGATGCCTCAGAACATCGAGACCTGCGCGATTTCGAGAACAGGAGGGATCTGGCAGCTGGGGAGATCTGGGGGTGTGTGGAGAGGGAGCAGCAGATGCATTTGGAGGCGATCCGAGACGATCCTGAGGTGATGTGGGTGAAGCTGGAGTCTGTGCACATGCAGAAACGACCTGGTACGCGTTTTAACACCTACAACGCGCTCCTGAGCCTCTCCAAGGCCGAGGACGAGTCCCTTTCAACGCTTTCGACGCGAGCTTCGCAGCTCAAGTCCGATATGAAGGCCCTTCGTCCCCAGGACTTCAACATTGCCAAACTCGACGATGAACTCGTCCTTATGGCCCTAATTCGTGCACTGCCCGCCGGATATGCTGCTCTTCGTCAGACCCTCTTGCTGGACGACGCCCTCACGCTCGAGAAGCTCCAGGACACGTTTGTTGCGCTCGAGAACCAGCCTGGTGCGTTGTTGACGATCCCTGTCCTCTCCCAGGTTGCTGCTGCCATCATCTGCGCTTTCTGCGGTCGTTCTGGCCACTCCGAGGAGCAGTGCTTCTCCAAACGCGATGCTAGCGTCAAGGCGAAGGAGAGAGCATCGCAGCGCACGCAGTTTCGCTCTGGAAAGGGCAAGGACAAGGCAAAGGAGGTGAGGGAGGCGTCGAAAAACGTCCAGGACGTGCAGGATGCGTCCCAGGAGTCCGCTGGAGCGGCCACTGTGAGTGCTGGTTGCGCCTCTGCCCTCCTATCCTCGTCGGATCGCGCCTGCCTCTTGGCTCTCTACGCCTGCAGCTAATTGGAACACCGACACAGGTGCTTCTGCACACATGACGCCTCACCGCCACTGGTTTCGCTCCTACTCGCCCCACTCCATTCCCATTCGCCTCACCAACTCGCACATTGTCTACTCGGCTGGGCTAGGGTCTGTGGTCTTTCAGCCTGCGGAGAGGGACGGAGTTTTACCACCTGCTGTTGTACTGCACGACGTCCTTCATGTCCCTGCGCTTGCCAGCAATTTATTGTCCGTTTTCCACCTCACACACGAGAAGGGCTACGTCGTCGAGCTGCAGGCTGCCAACGCGTTTTTCTACCAGGACTGCGAACTGCGCTTCGAGGCGCGAGTTAACGAGCACAACGTCGGCTATCTGTGTGGCCAGACTGTGTCTGACAAAGAATGCGTCGTCGGCTTCGACGACCTGCAATCTGGACCTTGCGCTTTGGCACCAGCGCTCCTCACACGTCAATCTCGACGACCTCCGCTCGGCGCACTCAAAGGACCTCGTCTCCGGCCTCACCATTCGTTCGAAGCGCACCCCTGACCCCATCTGCGAGCCTTGCCTGGCTGGTAAGCTGCATCGACACTCTATCCCTCATTTTGCGTCCAGAAAATTCGTCCGCATCGCCCTGGTTCACACCGACCTCAAGGGCGCGCTCCCTACGCCTACGCCGGAGGGGTACGTCTACTGGATGACTTTTATCTGCGATGCTTCGAGGTTCTGGGTTGTTGCTTTCCTGAAGCGCAAAAGCGACGCATTCTCCGCGTTCCAAGCATTCAAGGTGTACGCTGAGAACACGCTAGACCTTGTCCTGAAGGCTACGCACGATGACAAGGGTGGGGAGTACATGGGCAAGCAGTTCGTCGATTTTTGCGCTCAGCATGGCAACCAGCGTCAGCACACTGAGCCAGATGAACCCCACCAGAATGGCGTTGCAGAGCGAGCCAACAGGACAATTGCTGAGGGTGGGACTGCCCTCCTTGTCCAGTCAAAGCTCCCTCCGTCGTTTTGGGGCCACGCCGTCTCTACCTTTGTCCACACGCGAAACCGCATGCCCACGTCGTCCTTGCGAGGTGCTGTGCCCTGGACTGTCTGGAAAGGCGATGGGCGCAAACCGGATGTCTCCTACTTCCGCGCTTTTGGCTGTCTTGCCTATGTGTTGGTGCGGAAGAAGGATTGCAAGGCGATGCAGCCGCACACCAGGAAGTGTATTTTCGTCGGCTATCCTGAGGGCACCAAGGCCTGGCGATTCTGGGACCCTGCTGCGAAGAAATTCGTCATTTCGTCGCATGCTGTCTTTGACGAACGCTGCTTCCCTGGTAACTCGCCCTTCATCAATGTTTTCGGCCTTCCCCTCGACGAGATCGACGTTTCAGGCCCTGCTGACGACAAGGGCGAGCCGGCCGAGGATGTCCCTGATGCGCCAGAGCTGCATGATCAGGGGGGAGACAACTCTGATGATCCTGCACCTCCTGCACCTCCACCGCAAAATCTGTTGCCTCTGCCCCAGAATGCCCGCGAAAATTTCCCTGATCGTCCAGCACGTCCACCGAGCCCTCCTGCACCGCCGCCGCCTGCGCCGGTCCCTCTGCGTCCAGTAGTCCGTCGTCAAATGGACAACTATGACGGATATAGGCCCTATCCTGCGCCTTCACGTCGACTCCCAGCTCGATCTACGCGTTTTCAAGGCTCACTGAACAACGACGACTTGCAGCGTCGAAGTCTCTTGCCCCAGCGTTTTAGAGTCGACTCTACATCGCCTGCCTCGACGCCTGAGCCAGGCCAATGCGCAGAAACGCCTCAGCGCAATTCTCCGTCGCCTGATCCTCTCATTGATGCACCACTATCTCCACCTGCTGCTGTACCTGCTCCGCTTCCAGAGCCTGTTTCTCCACCCTCTCCTACCTCCAGCAACGACGAACTTGATTTCTTGCGTGGAGATGGACACGAGGATGCCCTTGGCTGCTCGCTCGAGGCGATGATTGCAGGCGTTGAGCACGTGTACTCCGCTGAGCGCGAGGATTTCTTGTCCTATGACGAAGCCCTCGATTTTGTGTTCGAGTCTGTGGTTCAAAACGCGTGCAAGGCGGACCAGGGGCACTTTGGCAAGCCCAAGACGTTTGCAGACGCCATGAAGCGACCACCAGACGAGCGAGGGAAGTGGCTCAAGGCTGCTCAGGACGAGGTGCAGTCCCTGGTCGAGAATGGGACCTTTGAGCTCGTTCAATTGCCCCCTGGACGAAAGGCCATTGGCTCTCGATGGGTTTTCCGTGTCAAGCGCAATGCTGACGGCTCGATTGAGCGGTACAAGGGCCGATTTGTCGCCAAAGGCTTCTCCCAACGTCCTGGCTTCGACTACAACGAGACCTTTGCTCCTACACCGAAGTGGGCGTCGATTCGAGCCATTCTTGCGCTTGCAGCCCTGGAGGACCTCGAGCTCGAGTCTGTCGACATCTCCTCAGCCTATCTTAATGGCGAGCTGAAGGAGGAGGTGTACATGCAGCAGCCAGAGGGTTTTGAGCAGAAAGCTCCGGACTGGGTGTGGCGGCTTCTGAAGGCCCTCTACGGTCTCAAGCAGGCTGGACGTTGCTGGCACGAGAAGCTGCACGAGGTACTCACCAAACTCGGTTTTTTGCGGCTGATTTGCGAGCACAGTGTCTGGGTCTACCTTTGAGATGGAGTGCGCATCATCATCCCCGTCTGCAGACGATTGTGGCGCTGTCTACAATGGAGGCAGAGTTCGTTGCAGCGGTCTCTGCAGGCCAGGAAATTCTCTGGCTTTGCAATCTGCTCACAGAGCTTGGTTTTAATGTCTCCCTTGCCTCCAAGCTTCGTATTGACAATCTCTCCGCGCTTTCTGTTGCAAAAAATCCGGAGCACCATGGACGCATGAAGCACCTCGATTTGCGCTTCTACTGGCTCAGGGACAAAGTAGCCAAGGGCCGGATTGAGATTATGCACCTCCGCACTTCTGACATGCCTGCTGACATCCTGACGAAGTCGCTGGCTAAGCCAAAGGTGCTGGAGATGGTGAAGATGCTTGGGCTGGGGACTTGACAGGTCAGGGGGGAGTGTTGAGCTCGAATTTATTCCGCATTTCTGCGGATTATTCTGAGCTCCATTGCCCTGTCCAAGTCATAATATGTGTCCTGGTGTGTTCTCCTTTATTCTACATGGACGCCATTACTGTACCGTGCATACTATATTTTTTCGACCTCTTTCCCTTCAGTCTACCGATTTCTATAATGTTTGACACTTCTGGGATTTGAACCATTGCCCTCACTCGCTTTTCACTTGTTTGTTGATTTCGACTTTGTGGCTGTATTACATAACACAGGCCATAGACAGTTCGCCTCGTCGAGCTCTAAATCCTTAAGACTTTACAGAGCTCGACTTAGGTGTG